CCCCCCCCGGCCCAAACGCCTGCTTTGTTCAATGCAGTCAAAAACCTGTTGGGCACCATACATCGTTCAGCAAAGGCAGTTCATATTAGAGCTCATTCATGCAAGTACAAATAAATTGCTTACTGAGCTGGAAAAATGAGAACTGGTTACCTAGATGCAAATAACCATGATCTAATTTCATATCTGCACAAATCTGCGCAGTCTAAATCAATAATCTAGGTTTGAAAAAGACCACTTTCACAAACTCGGTCTGTCTGGGAGAAAATTGTGGAAGTTAAAAAGAGATGTTTAGGAATGCTTCAGCCAAATCGCCTGAGATCTACAACTCTAAAAAAAGAGGATTACATATCCAGTTTGGTTAAAAAGGAAAGTGACAGAAGATGAAATGAGGAAACTGATAGCAAAGAGTAAAAATGGTCAACAAGCAAAAGCAAAAAATTGCTAAGCATCAGTATTTGGTCAAGAGAGAGTAAGAATAACAAAAAGAATAATTTAAATACACCAGGAACAAAATAAACACTTTTAGTGGTGAAGCTTGGACACGAATACACAAATTAAAATCCACTATACAAGATGGAACACTTAAGTCATTTTCGTATCATATTTTGAAACAAGCACTATGATTCACTCACATCTTATAGCAGCAATGAAATATTTTGTGTTCCATTAGTAGCTAATGAAACCAGGAGGGATGTAACATAGTAACTATCCAAGCATTTTAAAGTTAGCAGGATGACAGCTTTCAGCAACAGAGCTGCTAGCTGATTTTTTAAAGATCTGTCTGGGTTTTGTCACTACAAATGCTCCCAAAGACTAGGGATTTTTTTCATCTGGTCTCATTTTTTTCCCATCTGGAAAAGTGTTAGAAGAGAACCTATTTAACTAAGCTGTGGGTAAGATCATAACCAGAGTGAGATAAAAAGACTGTTGATACAGGTTGTTTGAGTACTGAAGAAGCTAGCAAATGTTATGGCAGGACCCCCCTCAATTGTCTGCCAAAGGTCTTGGGAGTCTGGGGAGGTCCCTGCTAACTGGAAGGCAGCCGATACTATTCTGATCTGCCAAAGGGGTGTGAGGGAAGACCCAGAGACTACAGACCTGTTAGTCTAACCTCAGGTCCTGGAAAAATCATGGAGAAGATTATACTGAGTACTACTGAAATGCATTTAAAGACTAATGCAGTCATCAGGCACACTCAATACGGGTTCACAAAGGGAAAGGCCTATTTAACTAATTTGATATCCTCCTATGATAAGGTCTAGTGGATGAAGGGATGAAGGTGGTGGAGGTAGTTTTTCTGGTTTTAGTAAGGCTTTTGATACTGTCCCTCACAGCATCCTTCTAGACAAGTCGTCCAACTGTGGGATGAGCAGGCTCACTGTGCACTAGGTGAAGAACTGGCTGAATAGCAGGACTCAAAGGGTTGCAGTAAATGGGGCTACATCTGGCTGGTGACCAGTCACCAGCAGTACCCCTCAGGGTTCAATTCTATGGCCAGTTTACCAATGACCTGGATGCAGGAGTTGAAAGCACCGTTACCAAGTTTGCTGATGATACCAGACTGGGAGGTGCTGTTGACTTTCTTGAGAGACAAGAGTCCATGCAGAAGGATCTAGATAGATTGGAGCATTGAGCTATGATTAATGGGATGAAATTTAACAAGTCAAAATGCCAGATTCTGCACATACAAAGGAATAATGCAGGGCATAATTATTATGGGGATGAGTTGGGAGAGAGTGGCTTGAGAGCAGTTCTGCAGAAAGGGATCCAGGCGTGCCGGTGACAGTAGGCAATATGAGTCGGCAGTGTGCCCTTGCAGCCCAGAGAGCAAACCAAATCATAGAATCATAGAATAGTTAGAGTTGGAAGGGACCTTAAAGATCATCTAGTTCCAATCCCTCTGCCACAAGCAGAAACACCTCCCACTAGACCAGGTTGCTCAAAACCCCATCCAGCCTGGCCTTGGACACTTCCAGGGGTGGGGCATCCACAGCTTCTCTGGGCAAACTCTTCCAGTGTTTCGTCACCTTCACAGTAAAGAATTTCTTCCTAATATCTAATCTAAATCTACCCTCTTCTAGCTAAAACCATTACCCCTCATGCCTTCACTACGCTCCCTGATAAAGAGTCCCTCCCCATCTTTCCTGTAGGACCCCTTTAAGTATTGAAAGGTTGCTATGAGGTGTCCCCAGAGCCCTTTCTTCTCCAGGATGAACAACCCCAACTCTCTCAGCCTGTCTTCATAGGAGAGGTGCTCCAGACCTCTTACCATCTTCAGGGCCCTCCTCT